GAGCAAACAAAGGTTGAGGAAGCAGGTGCAAACCACACACTTGACCCGGGTTGTGTTACCTACGAGAGATCATCGAATAAGCTAAGCAACAATTACAAAAACAGGTCATTACTTTCCTCAGTTTTACTTTACTTCTAGATCGTAAATATTATGGAAAACATAAATAATCGTAGGCTCACTGTTGCCCCTCAACTTTGTAGCATGAAGGCAGCAGGGGCAAGGGCTACATGGATGGGCATGGCTGTTCCTATGAAAACCTTTATTTGCATCCTAAATTTGTTTTTCCTAGCATTTTTATGTGTCACAATATATTTTTTCTTTAATTTTCTTCAATCACTCAAACAATGAAAAATGAACAGGACTGGCTGGAGCTGGCCTGCAAGGCTGCAGTTTGCAAACTCTGATACACACCCCATCTCCCAATCACATACACACACTGCATTCTCAAATACCCGCGCCACCCCCCTCCACCGTCTCATCAACTGACTCATCATTCCTCACTTACTCTGGGATCCCCTTTTAGTAGACATACCCAGACATCCAACAGTTCAGTCCTATCAGAAAGTGTTGCACAATCGCTCCCACAATCAGCAGTTTCTTCTTTCCTGTACTCCTTGGCATCAGCCCCATTACCTCCCCACGTCCCCTGTGCCCCCAGGAACCCTTATAATTGAGTGCCTGTCACTATAGACTCACCCATCCGGGACACATTTTAAAACAAGAAAGAGAAGAAAAAAGTTACACTCTCAAATGTTCAATTCGATTTTTATTGAAACTAATTTTCTAACATGTTTAGCAACATTTACATAGAATTCGATTACAACTACTACTAATAGAGGACACTTACATAAGACTTAGAATGATGGTTAACTTAGCAAAATGTAGCACTTTTGGCAAATAAAGCATAGTTGTCATTTGTTTTAATGTAATACCTTAAAAAAGGAATTTACTTCATTTTGCAAATACACAAGATGAATCGGAGTTCTGACTGTTAAGTGAGCGCAATGAACAAAGAGGGAACGAGGAGGTTATGGTAGGGCAGAAACGGAGAAAGGGTGGGAACATGCAGATGTCACTTTGTGATCCATCATTTTCAGAGTTGTTTTCTGGTAGAATCATACTCTGTTGTTACCAATAATTAGACAATGAAGAAGGGAATAGCTCAAGGCAAATAAAAGAACCAGGGAATGCGGGAGCTGGTCCTAAACTAGGATTACCAAGACACTATTAAATGACTTATGTGCGCTTCAAGTGTGGCCGTCTTCATTATACAGTGAAATGGAAAACAATCCGTGTACCCATTGTGCCTAAGCACTGACAGCAACAGGGCAACGTTTCCATAGAAACAACATTCTGCTCATCTAACGTCCCACCTGCTTTCCAAAGAGCACACTCTGTAAACAGTCAATAAATATTCGTTTTAGCAGAGAATTTACTGATTGTAAAGGGAGTGACAGCAGAAATCTGTCAACAAAATCTCTTAGGGAAGATGAGGCAAAGGAAATAAAATGCATATGTACTATTTCCTTCCTTTTCAGAGACTATTTATTACTGAAACTAGTAAAGGAGTGGAGAATTAGGCAAGTGAGCTGATTCTGTGCCCAGTGGAACCAAATCTTCCTAAGCTTTTTGCCTAGTAAAAAATAACAAAGTTGCTCCCATGGAAGGCAGAAAGGACGGGTACGACGGATATTGCCAACTGAATTTCATGATTAGGGAACCCATATTTTTTTCAGTGCAATTTTTCTCAGCTACCTCCCTGCACCAGCTATAATATGAGCATCTTGCTGCTGTGGAATATGCCGTTTCATAGGGGGGTGGGGGGGGTTTCCCTAGATTTAAAAAAAAAGCATTTTACTGAAGTATAATTTACATATCATATAATTCACTTGCAATAAATGTACAATTCAATTAGTTTTAGTATATTCACAGATTCGTGTAACCATCACCACAGGCATACTTTTAAATGTTAAGTAAATCACTGAGAAGAAAAGAAGTGGGGAGAAAAATAACTGGGTCCGGTTAATGTTCAAAATGCCTGCAGAGGGACTAGACTGGGCCGCACATTTGAGTGAGCATCCTAGAGGGCACAGTAAGGAAGGAAGCACTATATTTAAGACCCAACGTGCCTCAGCGATGAAAATTCATTAGTTGTAGAGGAGAGGGGCCTATTATTCTTAGTCCAGCTATTTCTCAGTGATCTGAAAATTTAAAGGTAGTTGGAAATTTCTTGAGCAGGACTGCTTACACTGGGCCTGTAGATCCGCAGCAGATCTACAGAGACCCTTTCATAACAGTCCTTTGAACTATTGGTGATGTTTACAAAATTAGGTGTATGTGTGCATGCACTAATTTTTTCCTGGGGAGAGGATGCGAGGTTTCAATCAGATTCTTAAAGGGGGTCTGTAGATTAAAAGGGGAAGGAAACGTGAAAAATTTGAAGAGGAAAGGATAGATTGTCCTTGTGCGTGTGCTTTAATGATATCTTTTGAAACATTTTAAAGGGAAGAAACTGAGTTTTTCACAAGAGGCTGATCAAAAAGGATAGCATTTTAAACAAACCCATTCACTTTCTAGCACTGTCCATTCAATTGGCAGCAGAAAAAAGAAAGACCATTTTTTTGCTATATAATGTTCTTCAGAAAGCTGAGGCTTTCCACTCCAGTGAAGGGTTGCAGCCTTTGAAACCCACAAGAGCAGTTCGCCCCTGCGCTATAGGGTCGCTATGAGTTGGAATCGACTCCGCATCAGTGAGTTTGGTTTAGTTCTTACTGAGAACATTTTTCTTTCCCAATTTTTACCCATCAGTTTACAATGAATCATTCCGGCTTATCGTCCCTTGATTAATGTTAAGTCAGTGATAATGGAGTGATTTACACATGGGTGCTTTTACCCTCATGACATTTTCATGCCAGAAACATAAGAAAAGCCTGCACTTGCTTTGATTTATTCTTGTCTCCAATTTGATGCAATTATTTCTGATTTTTGTTCAGTTCAGAGGAGGGTACGGTAGAGCTTTTAATATAGGATGAATAGGTTATTCTTGTTTCTCTGTTGGCCTTTTTTGGGTTTGAAATTAACCAAATTGTAGCTTCTGAGGTCAATGATGGGGTTAGGTGTGATAGGCAAAGGTGTCCTAGGATGGGATTAACATAGTAATTGTTACAATTAAGAAGATCTTAATTGTATCTTATCAGTGTCCAAAGTTGGTTAATATATTTCCGTTCACAAGAGTAATCTCAAAAGAAAACAAATTATTCATGTAGTGATTTTGGTGACAAAGTGGGTAACTGCTCCACTTCTAACAGAAAGGTTGGCAGTTGAAACCCACCAGCTGCTCTGAGGCAAGGCTATGGCAGTCGGTTTCTAAAAGGACTATTGTTGCAATTATCAGCTGCTGTCCAAACCATTTCTGACTCAGAAGCAACTCTGGATGCAACAGAAAGAAACAGACCTGTCTACCTCTCAATCTTTGGTGTGTTTGAGCTCATCCATCCGTCCTGCCCTAATCCATCTTGTGGAGGATAATTTATAAATTATTTTTTTCATGTCTTACACTGACCGATGTCTCCCTTCCGCTTCTTTTCTGTTCTCCACCCCCCCCTGGGTGGGGGTTATACGTAGATCATTGTGATCCGTTCAAACTTTCTCCCCCCACCCTGATTTCTTCATCTGGTTTTAAGGACGTTTTCAGGCTACCTTTGTAAAGTGCTTTGCATCCTTGGGAGAAAAACACTGCCACCCCGTCGATTCTGCCTCATGGAGGTTTGATAGGGCAGGACTGCCTCTCTGGGTTCCTAGACTGCTACCTTTAACGGGTAGAAAGTCCATCCTCTTGAGGCCTGGGCCAGTGGTTCCAAACGCCGACACACAGCCAGCCCACTATGCCACCAGGGCTCCTTTCCTTAGGGATCGGGGCTACGAAAATATATTGAGAAAATCACCCTTAACAAGATTTCTTTTAGTGTATTTACATCTCCAGGGTGCATTTTATGTTTGAATTGATTTCCATATTCCACACAAAACATCTAGCCTTCAGATGTAAGTAGAAAGAAGATCCCAGTCCTGACCAACTCCGGTCGTTCTCCGATTACCCGAGACGCCTGGGAATGAGTTCACAACCCCTGTGGAAGCAACGTGCACGGCTGAAAATGGTTTTAATTTCAGGGCTTTACCAACACAATTACTTTTTCTTTCGTGGTCTCTGAAGGACGTAGGAAGGGTAGGCACGATTTACTCTGATTTCCCTTCTCTGCTGGGCCGAGAGCGGCCATCGGAGAGGTCCTTACGGGTGGGCATGAGAGATCGGGGTCCTGCCAGACCGACCAGCGGTAGCAGACGGCGTGTGGAACTGAACTGTGCTGAGTTCTGAACCGAAGGTGGAACGGTACTTCATGCAGAACACTTACTACGAAATCTGAACTACATTCCCTCCAACGGGACTCCTGCCTGAGCAGCACAGGGTCGGCAACAAGAAACTAGGGAAGACGCCAAAGCTACGGCGCCCGCCGCAACGCCCAGCCTCGGCGCAGCCTCCGCAGACGCACCCGTCTCCACACCCACAACCCGGCCCCTCCCCTCCAGCCCCGCCCCCGGGGCCTTCCCGCCAAAGGCCGTTAGCGTCGCGGAGCATTGTGGGACGAGGCGCCCGGCCAGGTTTCACCTAGCCTTTCCAAGGCGCCGAGGTACTTCAAAAGAGGCTCGCTCTTTGGGGGCACTAATTATCCTCGACGACCCAGCAGTCGTCAGTAGCTCCTTGAACGGGGTTCTCTGGGTCAGTGTCCCCACTCGGCTGATCTGCGGTCGGCAAGCCCCTCCGGGAGTTGGGAACGCGGGGAACTTTTTTTCCCCTCCGTGCGGAGGGTCACGTCGAGCGTGCGTCTACGTCTCCTTAAACGGCTTCCGTTACGCACTCTGCGCGTGCGCATCGAACTAGACCAGCAGCTTCCTCCCGCTTCTCTTCCTCCCTCCCCACCATATCCGTGCGCCGAGCTGATAAAGGCGCCATTTTGGAGAGGCCGCGGGAGACGTGGTGTCGCGGCGGGCTCGCTCTGTCGTGCGCTAAGCTTGGTGGGAAGGCCTGCTCTCGAGTCCGCGCTTTTCGTCGTCGCCATGTCAGGAGGTGGTGTGATCCGGGGCCCGGCAGGGAACAACGATTGCCGCATCTACGTGGGCAACTTACCTCCAGACATCCGAACCAAGGACATCGAGGACGTGTTCTACAAATACGGCGCTATCCGCGACATCGACCTCAAGAATCGTCGCGGGGGCCCGCCCTTCGCCTTCGTTGAGTTCGAGGACCCGCGGTGAGCCGGCACGGGGCTTACAGCTTAGCGGAACTAGCTTGGGGGAGGCCGTTTCAGGGGGGCGAGGCGCCACTGCCCGGGAGGGAGTTCGGTAGGGGGTTGAGTCGAGGCGGCGAGGGTGCTCGGGTGGCCGGGGCCCCAGCGGGCAAGCCCGGAGCGGAC